CCCCACACCCCCACATCCACCCGCCCGGACGCCAAACGTTTGACTGCTATGGCGGAAAATCCCCAGCCGGTCTGCGAGCTGGACGCATTGGTCTTAATCTGCCGGTAATGATGGTTGTAGCTGGTTGTCATCTACGGTCCATTACGGTTACATAAAGGTGTCATTTGTGTTTTGACAACGTTTTATCTACGTTAGACTACGTACGGACTTTTGCTCGCGCGAGACGGACTTTTGCTGGCGGATGTTTGATTTACGCGCGCGCATCAACCTGATTTGCGCTCTTGAATTTTGACAGTGATTTGCGCTGATAGACTGCAGTATCTTATGCGCCTTATTGTGCGGAAAACACGGCACATGAGCTCCGAAGAAAATGGTATACAAAACATACATTGTCGGTTAATCATTCATTTTTAATCGGTTAAATTCTTAAGGTCATTTAATCATCCCTAGTTTATGTTTTGATCAGAGTTGTGATTAAAGGTTTGGGTGGGCCGCAAAAGATTTTCAGATTTCAAAGTGGGCCGCGGCATTATTGAGTTTGGGAACCGCTGGTCTAAAGAAAGCGAGTAAATGAAAATGTGTCTTGCCAACTGCTTTACTGCTGTTATTTGCGAGCTAACGCTAGCTTGTTCAGCTGGATTTGTCATCCAGCTGAACAAGCTAGCGTTAGCTGTGTCTTTAAACAGCAGCTTAGGTTAGTCACATCAAAACGGGACAACGTGGTGCTACCGTACCATGTTACGTTGACTTTGCATATTTTGCCATTGACACACTTTTTTTAGTTTATTTAGTGTGAAATAACTCACAATAACTGCCGGCGCTGCTGGCTGCCCTTTTCTCTACGTCAGCTCGGCTCTTTTTTTCACTCCGCGTGCATCTCGCAACCCATTGAGTGACGCAATAATCGCGCGACAAACATATTGATTTGTGGCCAACACTTTTAATAATCGATTTTTATCGATTTCATCAATTTGTTGTTGCAGCCCTAGTAATTTGACAGAGAAAACTAGAAAATGAGGAGTAAATTTAAGGGCTGTGAAAAAAAATTACACCGCATTGTATATGAAGTTGGTCTGAAATAAACGCTGCAATGAAAACGCACGTTAGGTATGTCTCTTGCAAGACTGGCTGATTCTACTCGGTTTCTGTATTCATAGCGATCATTTTACCCAGCTTGTTTCTTTTTTACTTTTTGTGGACATGGGCACGGTTTGACATGACTTCATCATCTTGAACATAAAATACAGTGAACTTCCTGTGTTCAAAGGACTTTAATCAACTGTCTTAACCCGGCTGTGACAGGAGGACTACCTAACAGCCATCTGTTTGATTGGATTAAGACTTGCTCCAGCAGCTCTACACCGGGATCCTTGAATTGATCAAGCTCATGATGGCTGTCTTCATCGGCCCTTGATACAGACAACCTGCAATTCAGTTCACTGTGGGACAGGCTGATGGTAATCTATATCCTCTCTTCCCTTACCTGATAGAGAGGCAGATGAAGTCTGTGAGAATCTTAAAGACAATGAGTGTCAATGAAACCGAGGGGAGGGAAGGATGGCAATGGTGAGGCTGATGAGACTGAGATATGTTAGGACAAAAAAGGTGAGCGAGAATGAGTGAGATTCACATACAAACAGGTGTGGGAGAAGTGTGAATGTAGGGGAGAAAAAATGGGAATATCTATCCAATTCAAACAGATGGCTGGTTCTTTTAATCACTCCCATCCCATGTACTAGTTTCTTTTTTCCAATGGAACAAAGATAACACTGCTTGCATTTCCCCTTTAATGGCGCTCTAGTCACCATCACATTTCTATAAATATGTCAATAAATACCTAAATCAGACAGGTTGCTGTTTCATAACAAAACCTCTACATGCATTTTTGAAAGCCTTCAGTTCACATGAAGAGCATGATTGATTAAGCTGGGGAACAATTGGTCAGACAATACGAGCATAAGAACGAGAAGGGAGATACATCTTCGTGAAGGCTCGTGTCTGAGTTTGGCATTAGATAAATGAGCACAGATGAAGCCTACATGAGCAAAACGTGTGTGTGTGTGAGAGAGTGCGCAATGTGTTCATACCTGCATCCCCTGTATGTGTGGATCATGGCTTCATAGTCCCACCATTACAAGTAAACACGCCTGGATTGGTAGGTTTTTTTGAGATCATGGGGAAGTCTTTTTCATTTCCCACATCGCCTTTGCAAGGCAGAAGGTGGAAGAGGGGACAAGCAGGGATAGGGTTATCTCCCTGTGTGCATTATGGATGAGGCGTGTCTGCGGAGTTCAATCCGCAGCTCTCTGGTGGCTTGGAGGAGGCCCACAGGGGGTCACATAAGACCAGGTGTGTCTTTGAGTGAGCGTGTGTGTCACACTAAACGAAGGAGAGAAGTCTCCAGGGTCCCACCTGCCCACACACAGATAAAAAATGCCTTTCTTTCATCTAGTCACTATCTTTAATGGAGTATAAATCTATAGGGTATTAGTGATATTACTGACAGTGCTTTTGGTCAGCTTAAGGATAAAATAAAGCATATACCTTTCTCACTTGCTGTAGATTATAAAACAAGTTTGTGACATAAAACCAGGTTATAAAACCAGTGTTTGTGACAGAAAGGACATGCGTCCAGTGGAGGAGAAAAGCCAAAATGAGTACATCCAATCGGAAGAGTGTCTCTTCGTCACTATAACAACATGATGAGGGCCTCTCTACAAACTCCATGGCAACACGACAAACACATTTCCCCATTCAGAAAGGAGTAGAATCCTGGTGCGGAAGTGCGCCCGTGTTTATATACCCCCATGTATTGTCATCTGAGCTCAGTGGCATAGACACAGGAGAAAACAGCTTATACTCTTCGATGTCTCAGAAGTCATGACTTCCTTACAGTGAACTATTGAACATATACAATGGTGGGTTATAAATAACATTATAATACGGGTAGATGAAATCCAGCGTTCTGATTGGTTGAGAGTGAGTCACGAGGGGTACATTATTGGGCGATAATATACAACCTCTCGTACTTTATTGCTGTTTTAATGTGGCATGTAAGACACAATACAGGAGTATTTTCCTGTCTGTAATAGTACATGCTAGAAGACTGACGCCCTCATGTACGTACATTTGCAAATCTAGAGTTATCAGCGCCACGGCCAAGCAGCAAAAAGCGCACGCTGTGATACTAAAGCTTATTTCGTATTTACAAAACCTGCAGTTCATCGGGTAATCACCGCCTTTCTCCGGCCACTATACAGCACATTGCAAGGATTTAAATGCGCAAGTGACTCAACACAACTGAGTACAGCCAGGTATCTTTAGGCTAGAGAGCGGAAGGGGAAACAATTTTCAACCATATTACCCACTGTGCATTATGAGTAGTTTTTTGTTTATGACTTTATCTACTTTTCTGTTGCTGATGCAAATAATAAAAGTAAGTATTAAGTCACGCGAAATAATGCGCGTTGATTTACTTACCACTCCTACAGCCACAAATACTTGTTTCTGATTTACTGGCAAGTAAACTAACTAAGCCCCATGTCATATTCATAGTTGTAAAACTAGATATTCACATGGGTGATGCCTGGTATCCGGTATCCATGGATACAGTACTTGGCTGAGCCAGTGTCCACACTCTAATCAATGTGTTGACCCTACAATCATCCCAGTAACAAAGTGAATACACTATAGTTTTACCACTTTTTACTGATCTATTTGATAACTAGTGGAGACAAGTACAATATTACTTTAAAAGTCTATTTCTAATGGTATTTTTATGCTTAATGCTCTGCCAAACACAGAATACACGTAGTCTCAAATTAAAGCGTATTTACTTGATTACTTTTATACTATGCCACAATTTTGAGCTACAAATGGTTCAATGTCAGTCGCAGCAGGGCCATGTTGGCTTTCCTCCAACAGTTCTGTGTTATTGACATGCGATTGAACTGCAATATGCCAACAACAGCTGTACTCCTTCCAACACAACACAGCTGCAGGCATGAAATGTTGTCACTTCCAAAGCCTTTAGTTGTGTGTACAGTGGACCCTCATTAACATCCAGTGGGACAGAAATGGCAACACCTCGGTTATTCTATATACGGCTTGCAGCTTTTAACAAGCTACTTTTGTATAGCAGATCGCCTTTTGTGTGTGTGCGCACGTCTGTATTTGGGTCCACATCTTCAGTATAAACATAGGAATGGGAAATGTGCAGAGGGGAGGGTTGAATTGGTAAAGCCCTTCTTAGAAGCATCACTTGAGTGGAGACGGCTGGCGCCATCTCTTTGTGTTGCTCCCTCTCTTTTAATTGCTTTCTCCTACCATGAACACAGCCTTAAGATTACATGGGAAATACATTTTCTGACATTTTCTTGTTTCTATACCCCTCTCATTGTCATAGTGTGTGTCATCATGGCAGAACGTGATTCTGAAGACACCTACTGTTGTAGGGGAGCTTTCACATAGGACTGCCTGAGTGCTTTGCCACGTGTTTATCTCTGTGGACTGATTTTGAGACAGAATGTCTAGTTGACATCAAACTGAAGGTCTAGTTAAAGGATGGGAGTTGTTTGAGCAAGGATATTTCAGGATGGTTCTCTTGCTTCCCCTCAGTTTGTTTAAGCCCTCCCCTCGGTCTCTTTCTTGCTCTCTCTGCTCCCCTCCTCTTGCTGCTTTGGTGTCTCTCTACAGGTGGAAAATGTCAAGCATATACTTTGGCCGTAGCCCAGGGAGCTGTTAACTGACACAAGCAAATACCACAGTAAATCTTCTGATATCTTTGTTTTTCTCAAATGATGCAGCAAACAGTTATTTTTCTCCAAAATGTAAACAAACTGTCAACCTACATTTCAGTGACAACCTCACGGTCACCTCCAACTGTTATACATCAACCAGATCCATTTCCTGTACGACTCAACAGGCCAAAGAAAAACAGCATTTCACATCCTTTCTCTTCCACACAAACCTCTCAAAACCCTGTGGGAGTTTGTTCCTACCATCTTTGCGGTAAAGGTTTATCTCCACTTTCCTCTCCTCCGATCCCAGCAGGGCCTGAGCCATCTGGGCGATGGCCAGCCGCTTGGTGTCAGGTCCGTACAGGAAGTTACACGTGCACGGCTTCTGCATGACCTCGGCACGCGAGTAACCGCACATGTGGCAGAAGCCGTCATTGCAGAAGATGATGGCACAGTTCTCCACTCTTGCATTGGCGATGACAAACTTGCGACCTGTTGAAGCAACAACAGAAGTTTGTGTCAAGACACCGGAAAAAAAACGTGTATTTAACCAAATTCAATTAAACTCGCGAATGATAATAAGTATTGTTTTCTCTCAAACTCATTTTGGAAAGGGCTAATGCAATGTTAAAAAGGGACATTTTAACTGTCGTCCCTTACCAATAATGTGCTGCTGAAACAAACAGCTTTCTCTGCAGGCATTCATTCACGCACCGTAGTCACAGCTCGGGTTAAGTGGCTTGCCCAAGGACACATTGACATGCAAATTAGCAGAGAGGGGATCGAGTTGCTGATCATCTGAGTGAAGGAAAACCATGCTCTCTACCAAGGCAGAGTTGCCACAAAGATTAATTCAATTTTTTCCAAAAATAATCTTATTCCTTAAGGAAAATTCAATTTTGATTGTATGCAGATTAATGGAGTCAATAAACTGAATTTGGGATCTGGCGCTATATAGAAAATAAAATGAAACAAAATTAACTTAACGGTATCTTAGAGCAGAGGTCCCAAACAGCTGGGCCACGGATCGGTACCGGTCAGTGGGCCATTTGGTACCAGAATTTTTTTTTCCCCCCAAAGGATTGGTACCCTTTTCCATAAACCAATTGCATCTCTGTCAAACTTTAAAAACTGTTCCCTTCTCCGCTGCCGTGAGTTGTCAATTCATCGTCCATTCGACCCTCCTCCACCCAAATACCTCCACCAGGAGCAAAGGAACGCTCATCATAAGACTGCAGCCACTGTCTTCACTACAGCCACCAGTGTCTGGACTCCACAGGGGGGATTTAAATGAGTTATCCGACCTCAGCATCCTTGCCCCTGGATTATTGAGTATGGGGTCCAAGCTCAAGCATTTGTAAAATTAATATTTATGAATATTTAATAAATCATTGTTAAATACTAGGGCTGCACATTAACATGTTATAAATGAGTTAACCACCAATCAATTAAGGCCGAAAATGATTTTATCATGGGTTTTCTTTTTTCTTTAAGCAATGGGAGGGGCACCATTTACCTCGCAGAACACTGGGAATTAATAACAAGTATTACGCTTTGTGGAAACTGATTCTCTGGGGTGGTAAATGTCTTGTATAGTGCTTTTCTAGTCTTCCAACCACTCAAAGTGCTTTAACACTTCATGTCAACGTTCACCCATTCATACACTGATGAAAGGAGCTACCATACACAGTGCCACCTGGCCGTCATTGACATTAACTAACATTCACACACTGTAGTCACAGCTACAGGAGCAAGTACCCAAGGACACATCGGGTTAGCCGGGCATGGGATTGAACCCCCAACCCTCTGATTGGAGGACGACCGTGCTCCCCACTCACCCACAGTAGCCGCCAAACAAACAGCATGGATGTCTCCATGTGCATAAGGCCTCTGGGGATGTGAGATTGCGTTTGTGCTGCTCCAGCGTGATGCTGTGTCAGGCTGATAGATGGCCTCAACTAAAGAGCTGCCACTTCTGAAGAGCTCCTATGTTCCCTGTTCCCTTCGATTAGTATCGGGCCCCACTGTGAGCACACTGCGCTCATAAATAGCCATGAGGATGGTTAGAGGGAAGGAGTATTGCCCGGTGACAGGGAAAGGATAGGGGAAGCAAGAGACAGTCTGAGGGCTAGACAAGATGAATAAACCAATGAAAATTAGATGGTGGGACAGAGAGACATGGGGAGGGAAGAATGACAGTCTAATTAATTAGATTAATTGATCATTCGAGAGTGGTAAAGTATGGGGGAAGATTTGGAGAAGAGGGGAAGCGATAAAGACAAAGTGTTCCATCCGGGGATCTAAGACAAGGGAAGGAACCGATCATATTTCTCAGTAATTATCCCACATCAAGTAAATTGACTGTTGGGAACTCTGAATTCAGTTCAACTTAATCAGCTGAATTACTCCTTGTAAGGGTGAGAGTATGTAGCGTATACTGTAAGTAAATATCTTTACCTCTAATATTCCACAGAAGCTAATAAGTTCATACAAAGGGCACAGATTGCCAGCACGACAACATTTAAGTTACTCGCTGAACACAGACTTCAAAAAAAGGGTGGAAGGTAAATTCTCTATATAAGAAAACTAGGAATCAGATTCAGAATCGGCTTTATTGGCCATGTATGTTTACACATACATGGAATTTGTCTCCAGTTACATATTGCTGTCAATTGTACATGTAGAATAGAAAAACAGAAATATAAAAAATATGAAGAAAGACATTAAAGACAACAAAATAGAAGACCAAAAAAATATTTCAAAGGCAATAATGCACATTCATTACATAGGACACTGCTTCATTTGCCTTCCCTTCGCTGGAGGCACCCAACACTGTTACAACAAAAGGGACAGGATGTCACTGTTTTAATGAGGGCAGTAAAAAAAATGTAACGGCGTGGATGGGTTGTGGTGCAGATGGACCGTAACGCATGCGATTAGCATTGGTGCCGGGGGGGGGGTTTACTGCCTGTGATTACCCTTCTCCCTACAGTCATTTCCTGTCAATTTCCTGCCAGGCTAGACATTTTCTTAGCAAACAATTGCTTATTTATATACCTCCAGAAGTTGGAGAGCAACATTAGTCTGCATTTGGAGTGGTGTTTATGCCCACCTGATGAATCTATCACTCCTTTTTTGTTTTACGTGGATGGTCTTTGCCAACCCCTGAAGGGAATATCCGGCTCTTTAACTGCTAAATACAAATAAACATGGATTTTGATCCATGTTTTTTCTATACAAGAAAAAAATTAAAAGTCTGCATACAAGTTTTTATTGACAGTATTGATTGATTTCTTCTGCCTTAAGACTGAAATATTACTTTTCGCTGAAAGAACATGGCTTAACTCATTTCATTTTAATTTAAAATAACCAGAAAATATTCTTCTTAGCCTAAAATCTATCATGCTCTGGAGGATGAAATAAGATTATCTTTTCAATCTCAATCGTTTTTGAGGTTTTAAGGCTTTTACTGTCAAGCGGAACAGATTGCTGGGCAACAGGAGCAGTGGAGGTAAATCTGATGACGCAAGCAGGAAGGTCCCCCGTAGGCCAGAACATGCCATTGGAAGTTGTCGGAAGGTCCATCCCAGGTCTACCGCAACGGCAATCGAAACACAGCTACAGGCTAGTGAGACACTTTTCAAAATCAACAAAGTAATGGCAATCTACCCTCCAGGTAGTAGTTGGGCGAACGACTAATAGCGGTAACCACACGGGACAACAACTCCAACGTTACATTCCTTGAGAACAAAACTAAGAGCCTCTTGTCTGTCACATATTCATTCCACATATGCTTGGTCATTACCTTACTTGGATGACCTCTACTTATTGAAGTCAGCCAGGGTTGCTTTTTAAATGAAAATACATGTCTACATTAGTAAGCAAGGATGAACCCAACCAGATTTTTATTTTTCCAATGGGAGTCAATCTACAGGCATTGCCTTGGTGATCGACCTATTGGGCACCCCCGATGCACAGTCGGGCCTACTTCGATCTTAGACAACATTGATTAGCTCATGTCTTACTGTGTGTCAGCTGTGCAGGTAGTGACCTACCTCAAAACAATGGCTTTCAGGACCCTGAAGCGAGCTAGAAAGATTGTAGTCAACCCCTCTCACCCCGAACAAAAACGGTTTGTGCCCCTTCCATCTGTTTTTAACTTATTTGTAATTTATTTTTCTTTTTAATTTGTTCTATATAAAATACCTTTTTAGTATTGATACAGCGTGCAACATTATTGTGTACCACATTGTTCTGGAGGAATAATAACAACTTCCATAGTAATTGTTATGATGGAATGAGTTTCGAAGCTGTAGAGGAGTGATTTATGTTGGAAAGTTTTGTCCCTTTATCAATTGTCCAGGCATTACATGGGATATTGCCGTATTGATGGAGTGCATTTTAGTGTGCAGCTGTGAGTACTGTGTTCACTCTAACACACATTGGACTTCTAGAACAGAACAGACGAGGCTGCATTGAACAAACTTTGGAGGGGAAGAGGATCAGGAATGGAACCAGAGAGAACGCAGCAAGACAGGACACAGCGTGACCCTGAGTTAGACGTACGGAGACACAGCAAGCACTTCACCGGCTGATAAATAAAAGGGCTCTAATCAGAGCAGAGGAAAGGCAGTTGCTCAGCATGCACCAAGACAATGCTCTACTTTCTAATTCAACGCTAAATTTGCTCGATAACATAATTCAAATATCTATATATATATACACACATATACAGACACACACACACACAATTTACATTGTAAATTGAAATGGGAGATAACATTAGTAGAATTGCTTGTGCTGCATATCTCTGTCTCTCTCTCTTTTTCCCATTCCTATTTCAATAACCATCTAAATCAAGCAGAAATGCTCCAAAAATAACACATAGGTGGCACATCCTGGGTTTAACAGGCTGCTTGCGTTGGAGACATGAACCAAGCGACGGAGCCTGTTCACATATTCATGGAAACATTGGAGATTGGTTGTGTGGATGCGCTTTACAGCCTGCCTCCATGAATTAGCAAAAGCAACAGCACCTCTGAGGCTCATAAAGCGTGATGGGTTTGTCTAGCTGCACGGAGCACTAGGTAATACAGAGGCAGAGATGTGTGTTTGTGTAGCACATTTCACTTTCAAGCCTTTGTGGTTTTCAGTGACCGATAACGGCCAACAGAAGCGAGCTGTTAAAGTCTCTCACAGGAGCCGGAGTCCTTCTGAGTCATGCATCGATTCATGTTGTCACAAAAAAAAAACAATCTAAAAGTGTTCAAACATATAGATGTAAAAAGAAAAAAAGACGAGAAGATCAACAAGAGAGACAGCAGATGTCGGGCCACTGCTGGACGTGAGGGAAAGCTGCCATTATTTCAGGTACTGTAGCATTAAGCCACAGCATTCGGGGAGGAAAGGGGGAGAGACGGCAATATTTGGAGCCAGCAGGGGAACTGTTCGAATTAAACAAAGGAATTGGTAGTTACCTGGCTGGTCGTGTC